CAAATTATCTCCTAAAGTTACTTTTTTTTTCGTTTGTAACAACAAAGTCAATGAACTGTGCCTACTGCACTCAGAAGGTCAGTCAACTAGTTTTCTAAATTTTGGATTGCCAAATACCTATTTCACCCTCAAAATTATAAATATTTATATTCTTCTTTTTTTAAAAAAACTTTTTGTATTCCATGCATATTTCTACCAATTTTTCGACAACACAAAGTTATGTCACCGGAAAGTAGGGGACTATCTGTATGGGGTAAAATATGCAATGTTAAGTCGTGCATGGAATATATATTCCAGCATTATATATGCTTAAATACTTTTTTTTTAATTTATAAATAATATTTATTTATTCTGTAGGTAAGTCCTTAATATAAATTAAAAAGAAAAAATTATAATATTAAAAAGTTTTAAAAAAATAAAAAGATATAAATATTTCTAATTTAGAGGGTAAAATAGGTATTTGGGAATCCAAAATTTGGAAAATCAAGTTGAGTGACCTTCTGAGTGCAATAAGCATAGTTCAGTAACTTTATTGTTACAGACGAAAGAAAAATGACTTTATGAGATAATTTGGGATTGTTGACTGACCATTTGAGTAATGGACTCTCCAAACGGGCTCCAAGTTTCAAAACTTTCAAAGAAAAAAAAACTCGCTCACGAAGCTGCAACATATTTTCAAGTAAAATACATGTCAAATACCATTTTTCTACTCAATTCCAACTACTACTTCATTTTTTAAATTATAATTTTTATGTACAAACGCCTACTAAATCAATTCTCTTATAAAATTGAACAAAAAATCACTAATGTTAGTGGCATTTTCTTATATTTAATGATTTATAAATATTATTCAAAGTTTAGTGATTTGAATAAAGGTGAAGATTGAGTAATAAAATCTTAGGCAGAATAGCCTAGGAGACCATTGTACTTATTCCGGTCTGTCATCCCGGTCCTTGTAATCCATAAAGTTTCATCTGAACACTTATAATTATTAAAATATACAATTTTATGTCCTTTTGACCCTGCGTGTTGCTTAATCACGCTAGATTGATGTCCACTTCAGATAAAATATGCCACATAATTTTTATTATTATACTTTTTTTTCGACAGAAACTACTTTAAAAAAAAATTGATATTCACTCCATTTTCTCTTTCCTCCTCCCTCTTCATCTTTTTCATTTCTTTCTTTTCCACCCAACCCCCATCGCCGCCACCCTCCAGCCTCCACCAATGATTTCTCTTTCAAGATATTACTAAAACTCAAGCAATTTATGATTTAGACACAATAGACTCGATTTTAAGGCTCAAAGCAATTGATATTTAAGGCTTCATTTTTTACTCGAAGGAGCTGGGTCAAACTAAATTTGAACATTTGATATGGTATAATTTACAAAAATTGTTGAATATTCGTAGATTGCCAAAACGAAGTTCCGGATGCTAAAAGCATTCAGATTGGAACGGTTTGCTTTTGCATTTTGGTTTAATTAACTGAAAACATGCATGTATATTTTAAAACATTCTTTCTTAATGTTTTAATTATTTTTCGTTTTAATATTCATACTCACGCTTGTTATACACGTGAAATCCACACATTTTGTCCACCTCAGCCATCAAGTTGCCATGTATATTCAGTCAACGGCCAGAGGGGTTTAAACTAGTATATTTTGATCACTATAAGTGTCCAGATGAAACTTAGTGGATTACAAGGACCGGGATGACAAACCGGAATAAGTACAATGGTCTCCTAGGCTATTCAAGAAAAGCGAAGGGTTTGGCAACAAGCGTCGGCTTTCTATCATACCTATGATCCTTATAACTAAGGGTGTTCATAAAAACCCGAAAAACCGAACCAAACCGAAAACTAAATCAAACCGACCAAAAAAATCGATACCTTTTGGTTTGGTTTGGTTTTAGTTTTGAATTTTAAAAACCGATCAAATTTGGTTTGGTTTTGGTTTTAATCAGAAAAAAACCGAACCAAACCGACTAAAGGAGTAGCTATTTTAAATTTATTATTACACCTATATATATGTATATTTTTATACAAAGTTTCAAAAAATTTATGGTAAATGTTAATAGTTTGCACTTTTGATATAGTTCTTTACCTTTACATTCTAGTTTGATTGGTAGTTTTCTTTTGTTTAGTGTAAGAATCCATTTCATGTTAAAAATAACATATTTTTAATTGAGTCCTTAAATTATTCATCACTATTTGATTCAATTATCATCAATATATCTTGGTAAATAATAGATTTCCCAAAGGGCAATTGATTTGATAGTGTTACATTGAGAATATGGTCGCCGGAATATGTGTATGGTAGTGTATGTCTTATATTTAAAAAAAACCGACAAATAACCGGAAAAACCGAAAAATCGACATAAACCGAATCGAGAAAAACCGACTTAATTGGTTTGGTTTGGTTCTAATATTTGAAAAATCGACTTACTTGGTTTGATTTCTTTTTAGGGAAAAACCGATCCAAACCGAACCACGAACACCCCTAGTTATAACACTAGTCTTTTTTGTTCGGTGTTAGTGATCATAGGTCAGAAACTCGTATTTAAGAACCAACAAGGGTTGTGGTGAAGTGGTAAATACTCTTCATCATTTATCAGACGTCTCGAGTTCGAGCCCCTGGATATGAAGTCGCCTTTGTTAGGGAGCGCTTTACCACCCAATGTGGGACTTCCCGGCGCGAATCCGGATTAGTGGGGCCCCAATGTGGGAACCAGATACCAGGTGAGAAATAAAAAAAAAAAAAAAACTCATATTTAAGCTTTATTTCACATTCTAATTACTACACTTTAATTGTATTTGAGCCTAATTATTATGTTATTTAGGCTGTGATTTCAAGTGAAGAAATGAGTTTGAAACTAAATTGAATGATTTGGAGCTTTGAAGTCTGAGTAGAAGCCCAGAGAATTAAGCCAGGATTGTGTTCGGACTCGAGGACCAAATCTGGATGTTAAAAATTGAGGACAAAAAATTACTCGGAAAAAATGCACTATTGCGCTGCGGGGCACAAGGTGCTAGTACAAAATTGCTATAATTTAGAATAAAACCTGCTTTCTGGACTTTCCTACTAGCACGACGCATAGGGCGATGCGCCTTTGTAATTTTGTTAGAGTGTTGTCCCACTTCGGCTCAGAAATGTTAGTTTCCTCCGGGCCCATTCTTACATGATATATATTAGGGGTGTGCATTCGAATCGGTTTATCGATAAATCGAATCGATTATTTGTTATCGGTTTATCGATTTCGATTTCGAAATTTTCCTTATCGAGTTATCGATTTCGATTTCGATTTTGTCCCCTTCGGTTATCGGTTTATCGATAAACCGATAAGAAATAATTAAAAAAAAATTTACTTCTTTAAAAATTTTTTTTTTTAATTTTTTTTTACCCTTATTCTATAATACCCTTTCCTTTAGCATAAATCCCTAACCCTATTATTTCATCTACCACATTTAAGGAATGATCATATTTAAAGCTCAAGGGAATGAAGTTCAAATTAATCGAAAATAGAACTAGCCGTGATGATGTAATTTTTTTTTATACCGTTGGGGTGTTGGTGGCATACATTTGATCCCTTACTTTAGTTTCGTTGCATGTACTTGTTGACACAATTTTTATGTTATAAACGGTGTTCGTCTTATTTTAGCTTCTTTTGGTCCATATTAGTTAGGCGTGTTTATAGCGATATACCTTCCGTGGAATCCCGCAAATTTTCTTATTGGTGTAATCGATAACCGAATCGATAAGTCCCAAAAATCGATAAATCAAAATCGAAAAAATCGAAACCTTATTGAAACGATAACGATCAGCATATGTACAAATCGATAATCGATAAGTAATTATCGATAAGGGTCAAAATCGAATCGATAAATCGAATGCACACCCCTAGTATAAGTTACATCAAAAACACGATTTTAGTGTATTTTTGACCTTGGGAGCTTTGAGAAGCATTTGAGGCTTTAAGATACAAGATTTCATCATTTTTTTCATCAATTCTATATGGCAGTTTGGATTTTTATGCTAGATTGATGTTTTCTTATTCTTTAAATGTATTTGTGATGACTTACTCCATAATTATTGAGTAGCTACCCTTAGAGTTTGACTTGATTGTTATCTATGGATTTAATTATTGTTTGATTGCTTGAATTTATTGGAAGAGCTTTACCTCTATTTGTGATCTTATTCTTTATTGTATTTAATAATGAAGAGCATAATAATGAACTTTGTTGCAACGCATGCTTTCATTTATTTTGGTACTTCTTTAATGTAATTGAAAGCGCTTTGTGATCTTTCTTTTGAATTAAGATTGACAAATATTCGAGAGAAGTTTTTCTTAGACCATTCTTACCAATAAATTCTTGCAAGTTTAACCGCACATCATATTACCTTATTTGAAAGGTTTAGGTTTAATCGAGAGAGGAATCTAAATCAATATAATACTTAGGAAAATAACCTCTTGAATTCGAGAGAATCAATAGTTCATTAATAGTGAAATTAAACAGTGTCAATTCCATTATAACAATCTTGCACTTATCATGCCATGATGTTTTATCTCTCACATTGATAATATGTTATTCTCGAGTTGTTCGCGATCAATTGTCAATTGTTTTACTTTTAATAGTTAATTATTGTTCATAATCATCCCAAATCAAAGTGTTAGAACATCCTGAATAGAATTTAACCTAAAAATTACTTGAATATTATTTAAATCTAATCGTTGTGGAGACGATATTTTACTATGCTATCTTTAACTAGCGATTATAGATTTTCTGTTCTGTTTTGCGCTTGCTCGTCAATTAGGGACCCCATGAGTAGTCGCTAGTGTCAACGGTACTTGCTGTATGCTTTTTATGATCTCTGGTTTTGATTCAATTACCACTTTTATAGGTAATGAGCCTCAAAGTATTTTCTACAACAAAGCACTACTACTGTGGAAGAATCAAAGAAGGCAGAAGCAACAAGAATTCAAAATTAATCTGTTATAGTTAACCCAAAATATAAGAACCCTAATCCGCATTTAGAACGGTGCACCTTCATAGATCAAAATCCAAAATCCAAACCAAAACCTTATTTAGCAGCTTAAATCAACCCGTCATGTTTCTAAATTAAGGGGTAGTTAATGCCCAGAAGCATTCAAGCGTCTTCCAATCTCAAAAGAAACAAAAGCATCAATACAAGCATACTCCACTTGCTCCACGCTGAGCTCTTCGTTATCCCACTTTCCAATAGTAATGCGCTTGGGCTTTTCCATCTCTTTACCAAGAACAACATCGCACAGCTTCTTTAAACCAGCATTCTTCAGATCCCTCATGCCATAAGCATCCGCCGCCAAATGCCTTAAGTCAACCACATTACCCACACGTATCCCATAATCCTTCTCCAACTTTTCAACGTCATTCTCGATTCCAACCCCAACAATAGTGTAACTGGGATTGCACAAAAAAACGGATAAGAACAAAGGTATGTAAAAACAGTGCTGGAGTTGAAATATGAGACAGCGTCGGCCAACGCAAAGCTGAAGAATTGCGACTTGGCTTTGTTGATTACGGTTGAAAGTGGGTCGCCACTCGATATCAAGTCCAACAATGAGGCGGTCGAGACGACGCGCATGGACGGCTTCGATCTCCCAGATCCAATCGCCAACATAGCCTGGGCTGTTTGTGACTGTTGTTAGGATTCGATCACCGAAGAATTCAACGTCAAAAGTAGTGATAGTCATGGCTGTCAATGCAGTGTGATCAAAACTCTGAAATATTACTAATAGGCTATAGTAATTTGTATTTATAGGGGCAAGTAGCGAAGTTCCGTGTCAGAGACGTTGAAAGTTCAAAATTCTGATTTGGGCACAGCAGAAGTAAACGTTTCTGATCTTAATAAAGTCTAAAACTGTAATGCGAATTAAACGCCAATTATAAAGTTTCCTTCCCGAAAAATACTCATTTCCCGTTCCAAATATTACCGTTTAGTATAAATTGAAAGTTGAAAATCTGCTACACTCGTACATGTGATTTTTTTTCCCCAGCTATTTTCACATATATTACAAAATTCATTTTTTCTGCATTATTTAACTATAAAATTGACAATATTAACTTTAATTTGCTCATTCAAATCCCAAATAAATTACTTGCCCGTTTGGCCATACAATTTCTTTTACTTTTTTCTGAAAAATATTTCATTTTTTTTCGAAATCAATGTTTGGCAATAAATATTTAATTTTCACTTATAGATGAATTTCAAATTTTTTTGAAAATTCGAAAAACTCCAAAAAATTATTTTTTAATATTTTCACTTTAGATCACTCACAAAAATTCAAAAATACTCTCTCCGTTTCAATTTATGTGAACCTATTTCCTTTTTAGTCCGTGCCAAAAAGAATGACCTCTTTCCCTATTTGGAAATAATTTATCTTTATGCAATGATTTATAGCCACACAAAATATATGTGTTTCATTTTACACCCCAAGTTCAAAAGTCTTCTCTCTTTTCTTAAACTTCGTGCCCAGTCAAATGGGTTCACATAAATTGAAACGGAAGGAGTAGCACAAAATTATATTTATATTCCTCTAAGAACTCGTTTGGACATACAAATATTTTCCTTTTTTTCAAAATTTTTTTGAAAACAATGTTTAGTTATTCCATTCTTATCAATTTTTCTTTTTTCACTTGAAAATCCATTTTCAAATTTGAAAAACTGGTTCCCACCACTTTTTCAATTGAAAATGAGAATTTTGCTAGTTTTTAGTTTTACAAATTTACCCTTTATTTTTAAAACTTATAAAATGGCTCCATCAGTTTTTCATCTTTGACAGATACAACTTTGGCGATTGATGGTGGAACATCAGTCCTAGTTGATACTTGAACTCTGCCTACTGGAAGTTTGATTATATGGTTATGAGAAATATGTGGCAATGCCTGCTTTTGCACCTTCGTTGTGTGTTATTGATTTTGGATCTTCTGTGTATTGCAGTAAAGTAGAATATGATAACAGTTAAACAATAGCATTTTGATTGTTTATTTCAAGTAGGATAATCAAATTATGGTGGTTTTGATATTTTTTACAAGTTGTGGGGTATAAATCATGTTTCATGGTTTTGAAAAAAAAGACATCCAAATATATTGCAAAAATTATAACCAAACACAACTTCACCTTCAATTCAAATTTTAGTAAAATTTCAAATTTGAAAAAAAAAAATTGGAATTCATGTCCAAATGCCTACTAATTTACAGACATCATTTTCACTTGGAGAAATTTTTTATTTTTTCGAAATTTTACAATTCTTATGTCCAAACGCCCACTTAGCTAAGATTGCGCCTTTCCATACTCCCAAAGCAAAGCAAAAAGGCTTTTACTTCTTTGCCAGTAAAAAGTTTAGATATTGTCAATTACATCTGCAGCTAAGTAAGTAACAGTACTTCCTATACCTACGATATTCATAGCTTCTATTGTCAACATGGTGGACTGATTGACATTTGAAGTTCGAAAAAACAAACAATATTTATGTTACCGCTACTATGACTTCTGTTGCTGCAGTCCTCGTAAATGGAGGAGCTAACTCCTTTTATCTTGTTCGTTTAATAGTAGTAACTATTCCCTCCGTTTTAATTTAGATGAGTTAGTTTGATTCAGTACGGAATTTAAAAAGAAAAAAAATAAGATTTTTGAAATTTGTGATCTTAAAAGTTTAAGGGATAAAAGTTTTGTAGTATTATGACACTTTTGTGGTTATAAAACTTCTCATTAAGAGTAAAATGAGCAAAATAAAGAGTTTAAAGTTGAATAATTTTCAAATTTAAAAATGTATCATTTATTTTAAAACAGACTAAAAAAGAAAGTACCCCAGTTAATTTGAAAGGTAAGGAATAGCTAATTAAAGCAATTTTTAGAATTAAAAGAAAACTAAATCAATTTCAATTTTACTCGTACAATTGAACAAAAAATCATTAATGTTAGTGGACATTTTCTTATATGAAAATGATTGGAAAACATTATTCAAAACTTATTTGATTTGAATAAACGTGAGGATTGAGTAATAAAATTTTACTCACAAGAAAGGCGAAAGGCTTGGCAACAAGTTAACGGTTTTCTATCATAGTTGTGATCGTTATAGCACTAGTCCATTTTGTTCTATGTTAGGGAGCCCTACAAGTGTTGCTAGTGTCATCGGTACTCGCTATATGCTTTTTAGGATCTCGAATTTTTATTCAATTACCATGTATTTACTTACTGAGCCTCAAGGTTTATGTTTCTATGTGATCGCATAATCAAAAAGAAAGTCTGAATTTTCAGCAAGAAAGCTGTTGGAAATTGGTGAATTTTGGTTTTGATGATTAACAAACATGGCAGATATATTGGGTTGGTCGAATGACCCGGTGAAGGACCTGGTCCTACTGGGTTGGTCTTACGAAGTGCTGTCACTTAATCCTAGCGGGAGTAGGTGATGGTAGGCTATCAATAGTGTTTGAAATAGTTTGTAGTGGTAATTCAGGAATTAGCTTTTAATTTTTTCTTTTAGTTTTAGTTTTCTTAAAAAAAACTTCTCCTCGAGATTTCTTTGTTGAAGAAATCTTGAAGAGCATATTCTTGATATTAAACTTTAAATGATGTGAAGATGGAGCATAACCAGCCTAAGAAATCAGTTGCAGAGTTAGCAGCTGAACATTCTCACAAGTCTGCTATTTGTTTTTAATGTGGTGGAAATCATTTATGGGTTGGCTATCAAGCAGGTAAGTAGGTAAGTATTCCTCCTATGGTTCATCTTTTGAACACTCTCACATTGTTTCCAGTCCGTACATGTATAGTGTTTCTTATGGGCACAATATTAACTCTAGTTGGAATGAATACCCTTATTATGGTTGGAATGAAAGCGAAGTGAGACAACCACCTCAAGAGAAGAACGGTAGTTTAGAAGAGTTTATGTATAAGGTCATTGATAAGGTGGAAGAGAGATTTACACAAGATGATGAAACCATTAACAACCTAACAATGCAAGTGAATCAATTAGTAAATATACTTTCAGAAAGCTCATTACATTGTGAAAGTGAATATATGGAGGAGATACCCTGTGAAAATGAGCCTACCTAAGAGGGTGAGCATCCAAAGAAAGAACTTGCCACTCTGCAAGAACACTGTGATTCAATTGAGATGACAGAAGATGAGGCTTTGGTTGAGTGTGAAGCAATGAAAGAAGATATCAAACCCCCATCCACCTATCCACATTAACAATTTTTAGTAGAAGAGAATGAGGAACAATGGTCTTGGACTTACCAGAGTAATACTCACATGACCTTTCTTCTTCATTTTCTTATTTTAACCTTGATCATGTTGATTTTATTTTTGGGGATTTACAGGAATATGCAGGGATTGATCTTGCAAATAAATGCAGAAACAAGTTGAGGATAATCCTACAAGAACAATCCACCTCTCAAAATGAGGCCAAGAAAGAAAGAAAAGAGCGGGTCTTACAAATATCCTTAAAGGACTTTGGCCTCATGAGCTCCATAAAGAATCTTGAGGAGCGAAAACGAAGAATGAATTCAGAATTAGGGGTGGAGTTCATAAGTCTTCGAAAACGGAAAAAATACTTGAAATGGCAATCCAGAAAAAAACATCAATACTAAGATCGGCTAGAACAAGGTGATCACCAAAAGGAATTACTGAATAACATATAAAGATGGATATTACTGCTATGGATGGTCCGATACTGAACAAACGAGTATTTACTGTGGATGGAATAAGGTTCTCTTTCAAAAGTAGTTTTGTCCCATCTGCTAGAGCTTGAAGAATTCCTAAAGGGCCAGCATATTCAGGTCCGATACGTTGTTGTATTCCTGTAGATATTTCTCTTTCTAACCAAACAATTACTAGTACACCTATTGTGATTCCTAATTGTTTACCTTGAAAATGGTATTAAAATTATATTTGATTTTGTAGTTCTAAAAATATGTGATTTATTTCAATACTAGTTGTTAGGCAATAGATGCTAAGTGTAAGTAAAGAGAATAAGATATGCAAGGCAATGTTGTCGCAAGACTGGGCCTCGAGTTGGCTGGAACAGGGAGCCTCAAGGTCTAGTTAGGGCAGTTAGCAATGAACACTTGATGAAGAAACGATGATATCGAAGGCCTCGAAGATAGCCTTTTGCGGTTAGTAATGGGGAATAAATGAACAATAAATGAACAAGCAATAAATCTATAGAGTAATGGTTGAACAAGTTTAGGCAAGAAAAGCAGAGAATGTTCTATTGTATTCATTATTCATCTTTTCTACAAAATGACAAGGGTCCCCTTTATATAGGGGGGGGGGGGGAGGGGAGAATCCCAACATAGTACATATCTAAATACAATGAGGAAATGCTATTGGTATAACCTCATAATGGCTCAGTACGGATTTGTACTATTCTTGCACACCTGGTCAGCTCCAACCACGTGTCCTTGGGAGCTTTCCCGCCTTTCCATGACGATCATCGATTTATACTTCTTCGAGATTGACCACAGTGAACCTTCGATACGCTCCCTCGAGGTACGCACCTCGGGGTCACACTTCAAATTCTGCTTCGAGCTTCTCGAGGACGGGTATGGAGTGCCACAGTAGCCCCAAAGTTGAACTCCTCGATTTTGGCCGTATACAGATAGTCCCTGCATTTCTTAGAATAGAATGATATGAAATGATTTTGACCTCGATTTTCTCGAGCTTCTTGTGATGACGTCACGTTCGTGACGTAGGCGCTCGAAGCGATCGAGACATCCCGTCGGTTCATTCCCCCAGAAGCATTGAATGCACCGCCGGTCCGTTTCCCCAAAAACATTGAATGCACCGTCAGTTTCGTCGTCATTTCTCTATA